AGATCACTGCTGAAAAAATAGATAAATTTGAAAAGCCAAACTACAAAGAATGGTACAAGAGAAGTCTCGGATACAAAACTAAAAAAATCAGCTATATTAAAGACCCGGATACCTTTTGGAGCACAGGTGGCATTCTTCCGAGAAAGACTGTTTTTAAAAAGATATTTTAAGAAAAATACTATACTGATGTGTTTTTTTATCTCGAAAGTTTTATAGTGCAAAAATTCTTCTGATGTGCATTTGAAAACTGTGGTTATCGCTGCTTCACCGGTTATAATCTTCAGCAAATTTCTCTTGGGAATATATTTGCAAAAGCAAGTGGTTTCCAGCTGATTTTTGTCTTTAATAAGATCACAAGGGCTTATAACGAGTGATGACTGATCAAACAAGCGCTCGACTTTGAAACAAAGTCAAGAAATTTGCAGTACCTTTCCAAAAATGAATTGGAGGAAGACAAACGTTTTAAGGGTTCAGTAGACCTGTGAGTTCATAAACTATTTATTCTATCTGGAAATTTCCAGTTGATACTTTCGAATTCTCAATTTCCGTAGCTCTCATAACTTTTGCTATTGCATTTTTGAAACCGAATCTACGATTGTATAGTCATTGCCAGTTCGTTTTCCAACATATTGCAAAATTTTAGGGTTTATAGAAGACAGAGGCTAATTTGAGGACTTGTTCTTTACTGATTCAATCTGGCAATTAAGTGGTTTTTTTGGAGATAGACGTAACCTAAAACCACTGAATAATGCACTTTTTTATGCACAACTCAAAAAAAAATTTAGAATTTGCAGGAATATGTGAAAAAGAAAAATAGAAAAATACAGAAAAAGCTCGTACTTGACTGTTCAAAGGTAGATTTAAAGTAAAATATTCTGCATTAAGCAAACTTCGGGGCTACCCACTGAATTGAACGTTACATTTATTGTCCATACGAAGCGGATGATATCATTTCAGTTGAAACCTTATAGTTTAGACAATTAATAATAAACAAAATGTAGAAAATATGCGGTTCAAATTTCTTTTCGACTTCTATAGCTTTTTAGTTTATCTGTTTTGCTCTTTCAAAACGGCTGTCTAACAGAAAAAAACAGCAAATATTGCCTTTGAAACACTTTTGTTTAAAAACTTTTTAGAACCAAATGATAATATGAAGTATATGTTGGTTTCAAACTTAATGACAACGCACTTAAGATAGACAATGAGCTCATACTTGATTAAAATTAAAAAGAATGATTGCAAATTTTGATAGCTTTTGGTTTTTCTCTTTTTTTTTTCAAACTTTATGCCCTAATTTGTGAATTCTTCTTTTCATCTTTATTTTCTGTACAGCAAAACACTACGG